GCAGGAGAGGCACAGCAGAAACTGTTCCCTGAGACTCCTGGTCCAGGCAGTCCATGCCTCGCTCTGTATTCCGATGACAACCAATGGTACAGAGCCCAGGTTATTGAGAAAGCTGACACTTCACTGCATGTTGTGTTCATTGACTATGGAAATGAGTCTCAAGTTGACATCAGTAATATAAGATCACTGCCTCAGACTCTGTTGGAGAAGGCTCCTCAGGCCTTTTTGTGCTGCTTAAATGGATTTAAGGAGTCTGAGGAGTCTTGGGATGACACAGTTTATGATGACTTTTTCAACCTTGTGATTAATAAACCACTCAGACTGACAGTAATCAGCATCGGAGACCACTCGGACATCACTGTTCCTCAGTATCACGTTAAAATTGAGTGTGAGGGAATGAATGTGAACAAACAAATGCAGAAATACTGGAAAGGAGAGGCCAGAGATGGTGCCTTGGCAGAAAGTGTGGAATCAGGTTAGTAGACTGCTAGTTAGTGTTACTGAAATGACTAAAAGGTCCTTTGCTAGTTTAGTGTATCTTGACTTTTTTTTTCCCCAGTATACAAGAATGAAACCAGTGCCAAGGACGAGATTGACGAGGCTTAAAAGCTGTCAAGTGATACGGCAATTGGTACGTTTAATACATAAAGGTCTCTTTTTGATAAATGCTTCTTTTTTTTAATGTATTATTAATAGCAACTCACAGGTGAATTATCTATCAAAAGTAAATTTCCAGAAATGGAGAATTAATGACAGCACTAAAAAAATCTTTCTTTGTTTCTTCCAGCTCTGGAGGAGCCAAAATGTGTCTGATACGTTGTTTCAATATGAAGTAACAATTTGTCTTATTACATTTTTTTATATATTTGTCCCAATAAAGTGTTTACATAGATTAAAACTGGTTTGTTTGTTTATTTTCATGGTTTCTAAACATTTGAACAGATAGTTTTGCAGACTGCATTGGCTGGCAGATTTGCAGCTGCTTAGCATTTGTACTCCTGATTAAAAGAGCAGTAATGCAGACTTGGAATAAATCTCTACAACCAAATCATCAAGATGAATGTATAAATAAAAGGGATTTAGTCTTGGCTTTTATAGCTTTTAGATTTGTTTGGATTTATTGTTATAACAGGTTATAATATTCTTTATCAGGTCAAGTCTCTAGAAACATGTACAGAGTCATATTTTTGATTTTTGTTTTTTGACAATCCTTAAAGATGGTTTGATTCCTACAGCCATTTTCACTTTTAATCCAAAATGACTTGTATTTGTTTATAATAAAGATTTGAGCATTAACAATTGGTGCTGTTTAATTTTTTTTTTCTATGGATATTTATTTGGCATTTCATTTATGAAACAACGGTCACTTTAAGGCACTTTATGTCTTAACGTAGAGTCTCTGAGTGGAAAACTCAAACTATCAGTGCTGGCTCATGGGGATATTATCTAAGTATTTTTTGAGATTGTAAACTGTACTGCTTTTTTTTTCCAAACTTCTAATGGGAAGAAACGTTGAGCAGAACCAGGCTCAGGGAGGGGGAAGCCATCTGCTCCAACTGTCTGGGGCAGAAAGGAAAGAGAAAAAGGGCACACACAGAGAGATGAGACAAAAATCGACTGTGGCATGAAAATTAACATTAATGACATGCTGCAGTGGTGTATAAACACCTGGGGAAGAAATGCTTGGTGCATTTAGGAAGCCCCTCCACAAGCCCGAGCCTTTAATGGCGTGATGTTCAGGCTGAACCAGCCCTAACTATAAGCTTTATCAGAAAGGAAAGATTTAAGCGTAATCTTAAAAGTAGGGAGCATGTCTTCAAAGTCTTGAATCTAGATGAAGGGATACATGTGTGGCAGGTTCAAAATGACTAAAGTCAAGAAAAAATGTACTGGGGTAATAAATGTGCTTCATAGGCCCGTTAGATCTGGGAATTGTTTGTCAGCAGATGTGGAAAACCAGTATAGAGACATGAATGTGAATAAAATAATGTTGTAACTAATAAAGCAATTCATTAAGAATCTGGCTATATCTGTGAAGCACAGGACACTTAAAATGTTAGCCTGATTTATTTCCACACAATGAGTAAAAACAAATACAATAAGGATTGCGTTACCTTTATTTACTTGTTATAGCACCTAAAATGAGTTTTCACTTCCTAACACAGGCTAGCCTTACTTAAATCGTGTCTTTGCTGTTTTTGAATAATAATATATTATTATTAATATATTATATTATTGATAACGATCTAGACACGCCCTGGTTTCCTTTCCGCGTTTTTACCTTCGGGTTAGGAGCCATCTAGTGTTGATCCGTTGCTAGGATCCACTGTTGCTAGGTTAAAATGTCAGAGTTGCACCAAGCTGCAGCAGCAGGCGACTGTGATCAAGTTGAGGAGCTTCTGAGGGAAAATAAGTGCAATCCCAACCAGAAAGACATCGACTGGTACAGCAAGACACCTCTCCACTGGGCAGCGGCTAAAGGTAGTTCGTTA